TTAACCCATAACCCTTCCAAGGGTTAAAATAGCAGTTGTGGACAATATTTCTATCTTTCATCAGATTATCCTGAGTAATTTGCTTGGACATGATGCTAAATGACTGTACTAAAAGCAGAGAGAGAAGGTGGTTTGGGAATACAGCCTTCCTTGGCAGACTAAGCTGGTATGTGATCAGACAGGATCATATCAGTAAATACAAAGCAGAGTTCACCATCTGTTAACACCATCCATGGAATCTGACCCCTGCAAACCTGCATAAAGTTGGCACAAACTGAGCACGGGTGCAGAGCTAAGATAGGTGGCTTCATGCAGGGCTCTGCAGGTGCTCTGCAAGTCCAGACTGCCACCTCCAGGCACAGAAAGCTCACAGAGCCTCGCTTGCTAATGACACAGCCAAATTTGGCCTGGACAGCTGTAAATGAAATACTTCGGAGATGACTTATTGGTAGCTTGGGGTAATATTGAGTGTGACTAGAAAAGGAAAGTTGTTTTACCAAGGAAAGACCAGTTCCTAATGGTGCAAGCTGGAATAAAAGCATCTTGGGAGACATTTAAGAAGGTGTGAAAATCCTGATGGCTATTTTGATACATGAAGGGGTTTGTTTGCTGTCATACATAAGCCAGAGTTTCCATTGCTGCTCCTCAATTGGAAGAATTTGCCTCTTGACCAGCTCCTTTCCCTGGACAGGTTCCCCAAGTCCTCTCCATAAGGTTTTCAATCCTGAGCAGATTCCCTGGATGCCAGCCCTTTCCCCAGCTTGGTCAGACCGGACAGCCACTGCCTGTGGTGGGGGTCAGCCTTGGGAACATGGAGCAATGCACAAGGTCTAGAAATGTGGCTCTGTGTCCTGGAGAGGAGCCCTTGATGACTGGACCTTGCCCAGACTGCACCTTCATGGCAATTTCTTCCAGAAGGGGAAGAAATGACGTGTTAAAACTGACACAACCCTGTCTCATCTTCCTGGGGATTGTAAGTGGCATGATGCCCTGGGCATGGTCCTCACATTCTTTCAACAAGGTGATGCTGTAGTACCTGCGGAGCAGCTCTGAATATGGGCCTCTACCCTTGCAGACCAATGCACGTCAGCCTACCTGAGTGCATCTGCCCCTGCCCATATCTGGGGGAAGGAGCCAGGCATCCATCATCCATCCTTCCATGGATCAAGTGTTTGCTTTGGGACTGAGAAATGTAAGAAAACTTTGTACATTTTGCACAATGTGGATGCTGACTTTATTCATAACCAAAATAAATTAGTGAAATGTGGGTCCTCAGTGAACACTGACATGTCCCAGCATTCCCAGGCTGTCCCACTGTGCCCAGTGCCAGCAGTGTACCGTGACTGAGGTGTGACATGGTTGCTGTCCCTGTCTGCATGATGGGGTGGGGGTCTGAGCAGAACTTGCACAGCTGTATGCACTGGACATGCATGCAGAAGAAGCAGGATGACATGACCTTCAGAGGTCTCTTCCAACCACATTTCTTCAAGTCTCTGGCAGATAAATGCTCCAGCAAACTAGAAAGGTGGAATATGATGCCTAAGGATGTGTTTTGCAGGTGGTGGGGAAAGGAGGAGAGTCCAGAACAGGACAGATCAGGAGCAACAGGAGGAGCAACAGGCATCCTGCAGTCATGATGTGGGTGGTAGTGATGGGAAAGGCAAATACGGAAATGGGATACGTAAAGGGGGGGGGCAGAGTGCAGGGCTTATGAGCTCAGCCCTCAGGGCTGGGGAGGTTGCAACTTGCCCAGCCTGGGTGCCAGTGCTGGGCACTGGAGAGAATGGTGAAAGGGGAGACTGGGAGGAAGGATGCTCTGCACGGGGCTGGCAGGATAATTTGGTAGCACATAAACAGCTGGTGCAAGGAGGGCTGAGGCACCTGGGAGGACAGGGCTGCACAGCACCACAGGGGAGCCAGGCTGGCCTTTCCCCATGGCAGGGATGTGGAGCTGGGCTGCACTGCCTGGGGACAGTCACCTCCATCCCTGAAGGGCTGCAAAGGCTGGGGGCATTGTGTGCAGGCAGTGACATGGATAGAGCTGATCCCACCCTGTGCTGCGGTGCCTTTTTGGTTTTGTACGGAAAGAAAAATATGCTTCTTTCCTGCAAATGCTGGTGTTGTCTTTGTCCCTGCAACTCATATGCTGGCAAATCCTTCACTGGAGGACAGCTAACCACAGCTAACCCTTCTTATAAGAAGGGTTTTGTGAGGCCACCTACATGACACTTCAGCTCAGACTTCAGGGGATGAGGCTGGAGGGTTTACTGGTTTGTTTTTGTGTTTTTTTTTTTCTTTTTTTAACAATTCCTGAATTTCCAGGAGAGGGTAAGCCTGGCTCTGGGAAAACCTGCAAGAGACCTCTGAGGTTCAGAGGAGCCTTTGCACACAAGGTCTCCGGTGCTTGCATGATCTCCTGCCCTATGTAGCAACGACTTGGTGGTTTTTGGGGAGGCTTTTTCTAGCCCACAGCACAGTGACCCCTCCACAGGGCGCCTACACATGATCAGCATCTTGGCCCTTCCCTGCACACATAGGCCCATCCCACAGACAATCCTGCTCCCCAGGGAATCATCCTTCATGTGTGGGAGGCTTTCTGGAGTGGAGGAAGGAGGTGGCTAGCTGGCTAATCCATGCTGGCCCCCCGTGCCTGTGAAGCAGCCATGGAGGCCCCCATGCTCTCTGCGGGTGAACAGCTTGCAGCACAGGGACAATAACAGGCGAGGAGATGGCCCATGGGAAGAAGGAGTTTTATTGTCCAGGAGGAGGTACACGCTCTGAACATAAAAGGCAAACCCTGCCCCGCCATCCTCACAGCCAGGAGCAGCCCAGTGACCCCACGGTGCAGGATCTGACCTATGAACCACCTGGAAAGGGGCCATCTGGAAGCTCCCAACCTCAGATCCTGCAGCCCATGTTGCCAGGGTTGCCCAGAAAACCCCAAGGACACAGGTCTGTGGCACTGGCCTGACCTCTGCTCTCCCCAGTTTGTCCATGACAGACTCACCTTCTGGGGAGTCCCAAATGTTGGGAAGAGAGGACACAGCCAGCATCCACCATCCTGTGCTGCAGGGCTTGGACTGACCTCCATCATGACGCTGACTGCAGGGTGGGTGTGTGACAGATTTGAGTGCAGGATGCAGGGTGCAATAAAAATTAAACAACACATTGCATCTGTCCCCCATTACAAAGAGCTTCCATAGGAAGAAGTAAAGTGCCCACCCCAGTCAGAGAACCATCAGGATGTAAGTGCCCTAGATGGAAAGCTAAGCCAGCCCCAGACAGGCCAGTTTAGCCAGGATTATTGCAGCTGAGAAATGGCTTTAACCCTCCCCCCACCCCCCTTGTGCCCAAGCAGCACTGGGAGGAACAGACCTCGGGCCAGATCCTACCAGTACCTGCATTTGAGTGATGCTGGATTTACTGTGCCAGTGCTAAGGACAGGGTGCTGTGGGCCAGGCTGGTCCTTGACAGTCAGCGTGACTCCCCTCCAGCACTTCTTCCCCAGCAGCCCCCCCTCCCAAGCCATGCTCCCAGCAGGGTTTTTTGCAGTGAGTTCAGCCCCATGACTGAGGCTTCTGTGCTTTGAGACTATTTTTGTGAACTTAACATCGTATTTCAGTAAAACAGTTCCCAAACCCATAGAAAATTATATTTACACCCAAGAGAAACCTTCCCAGCCCACAGCCTGCCCCCCCTCCCTGGCACATCTGCATCCCCGCAGCCAGCTCAGCCTCTCAGATGAGCTCCACAAGTCTTTGGAGGCTGCTGCTCTGCTCCAGGCAAGCTTGCCAAAAGAGATGCTCCTGTGGAGGAGAGGAGAGCTGTGGAGGAAAGACCAAACTCCCAGTCACCAGGCTCACCAGCTGGGTAGTGCTAAAGATCCTCTTTGCCCAGAACCCCTGTCTCCTGCCATAGGACTGTGTGATTGCAGCTGGAAATGTTGCTCGGGGCCCCTCCTCTGCAGATGACACAGCAGCTGTGGGCATAGGCAGGTAGCATAGAAATGGGACAGTTCTTGGATTTCTCTAGGGCAATATAGGAACAAAGAAGAGTTTGGCAGAAGTCTCTCTGTCCCTCCTTCATGTGAGATGGGAGCAAACTCTCCCATGCTTCTCTGCTCTGGTACGGCTTTGGGGGAGGCCAGGATGGTTGTTCTGCTGGGGGAGAAACCCGAGCTTGTGGCTCTAGAAAATGTGCCTGGGCTGCCCTGGGATGCCTGTGCTGGATCCGGAGAGGAGCAGTGCTGGTGGGTTCAAGAGGTGGAGCGTCTCCTGCAGCACCCTGGGGCTTCTTAAGGATCCAGATAGCAGACCCTGGCCACTTCTCCTCTGCTGGGGAAGTCTCCTCTGCACACAGAGCCATCTGTTCCTGGCACTGCTGGCTTGTACTCTGTCCCCTGTCTTCCTGGGCTTGGTGGAGGTGGACCATGAAGTCACCTGCAGGCTGGTGCAGTTCAGGAGGTCCAGGCTGGAGTACACTGGAACTCGGAGGTACTGGCCACAGGGTTGTCTCTGCCATATGGCAGCCTGGGAGGCCCTCCTCAGTTCAGAGATCCAATAAACTCCCCAGCTGTCAGATCCAAAGGAGCTGTGTGCCATGGCAAGCCCAGTCCCACTGCTTCTGGTATTGCTGTTGCACCTGATACCCCTCCATCTGCAGGTGCAGCTGGGGATATCCCGCTGTGTGAAGGGGTTACCACCTGTCCTGCATAGTTGTGTGGGGACCCCCAGTCCCACAGGGACACCGTAGAGGATAGAGAGAGGCATGACATGTCCCTAGCCTGCTTGGAAGGCTGCTCCCCCCTTCAGATGGGGGAAGGAGGCAGCAGGACCATCAAGGTATCTGGAAAGCCACATTTCCACTGACGCTGAAATCAAAGAGATATTTGCAGGGCTCCAGGTCCTGGTCTGGTGCCCCTTTTCCTGCTCACCACCCTGCTGCCCCTTTGCCAGGGTAAGTGTTAAGGAATGTCCGATGCGGGTCTGCAAAGCTGGTGATCAGAGATGCCTCCTGGGGCCATTTGTGTTCAGCAGCTGGGACCGCATGGCCTGGATGCTGCTCAAGATCTTCTTCTGGTGGCCCATCATGGTGATGCCCAGACTCCGGACATCCCTGGAGGACAAGGACACTGTCAGACACCCCATGGGTTGGATCTGTGCAGGGCCCCAGAGAGATACTGCTCCTCCTCGTGTGTGCACCCCATGGACCAGCCCAGGACCCTGTGCCTGACTCCCCTTCGCTTGCCCATCAGCACAAGGCTGCTGCTGCTGAGGGTCCATGGACATCTTCCCAGGGACAGAGAGGCTGCCTTTCACTTGGGCACCTCCTCCTGACAGGGCTGCTGTGACAGCCCCAGGGAAGAGCAGGAGCAGGAGGGGGAATCACTCCTGACAGGCGAGTAAGTGACAAGATCGATGCTCTGAAATTGGATTCAGTTTTAGCGAGATGCTCTCAGATAACCCAGTCAGAAAGACGGATGGATGATGAGCCTTCCCCACTCAAAAGCTTCCCTGATGTGCATGAGAAACAAGGATCAGTATCAGCTCAATCCCACAGCAAAGGCCCCAAGTACAGCCCCTGATCAATGCACATGACAGCCCTCTGCCTGCGTCTCTCCATCTTCCCTTTCACTGGCTCCTTCTCTACCTGCCCCATGTCAACCAAGGCGTGCACTGTCACATCCTTCCCAAATCACGGGAACTACTGTCTGGCTGGCCCTGGCACTAATGCTAACACCAAGGAGTAGGGAATGTAAGCCCAGGGTAGAAGCAAGTATAGCTGCAGTCCTTTCTGGTACCTCTTGGAGCACCAGCCACCTCAGAGAACCCCTAGACAGGAGGCAGAGCAAGCTCCTTACAGAAGGAGGAGGAGGACGGGTGATGGGACACATCTTCCCCAGCCCTCCTTAACCCAGCCTTGGTCATTTGGCTCTGACCTTCCACTCACACTGAGGCCCTGGATGGTGCCTCTCTGCCTAGCTGCACTGAGCAGGGAGGCAGTCCAGTGCACTGGGGTCTGAAGAAGCTCTGAGGTGCCCCCCAGCTCTGCTTGTTTCCCAACAATCCCAGAGAAGCTGCACAATATCGCCCAGCCGCACTCTGATCCAGACATGTCTTTTGCAGGGGAAACAAAAGTGAGAGGAGACAGCAACCTCATATCTGACCCTGCTCCGAGCAGGAGAATGGATTAGATGGCCTCCTCAAGCACCTTACAACCCGAATTATCTATGACCCTATGATGACATTGGAGAGCCACCACAGAGCACCAGAGGTTACTCAGTACTTACACCCTGGCAGTATGACTCCCACACCTCCTCTCAAAGGTCAGCACAGCCCTGGGCATCATCCCAGGTCTCAACATGAACCTGGTATGGGCCAAACGCTGTTTCCCTAGGGGTGTATCTCTGGCTCAGGGGCCAACTAGGTTGAGCAAGCCAAGGCAGGATGGCCACTGCTTGGGGCTAGTGAGATGGTGCAGGACAACCCCACCAGTGATGTTTGTTCTCTGGTACTCACTCGATGTTCATGCGCATCACCATGCCCAGGGAGGAGTACCCTGCCACGGCAAAGTTGTCCCGGTAGTGCCCCAGACGGATGGAGTCCAGCCAGTCCTCCACTGTCAGACAGCTGGCCAGGTCAAGGAGACCCCTGTCTAAGGGCGTTTGGGTGAACCTGAGAGCAGGACAGAAGGGGTTAGACCAGGAAGCGTTGGTCCTAGGTGGCCAGGCTGTGAGGTCCACCTCAAAGAGCCTGTGACCCTGCAGGCCAGGGCAGGACAGAGAAAGCCCTCGCAAGCTGGTAAAGGCAAGCACACCGCTGCGTGGGCACTGCTGCACAAACTTAATCCCCTGGCATGGGGATGCCATGGTGGGAGCAAGGCGGTGAAGTGCAGGATGCTTCCCACTGCCCACCACAACCTGTGCCCCGGGCCATGTGCATGTCCATGGTCACAGGGGAAGCCACTGCTGCTAGAGCTGGACAGAAATATCCCTTATTCACTGCAATCCCCACACTCTGCCCAGCATCATCTGTCAACCCTTGCTCATCACGGCGGCTCAGGGAGCCCTTACCTGTTCACCGTGGCTGTGCACTTCAAGTTGTCAGGATTGCGAATCAGCTTGTCCAAGATGCCAACAATCTGGGAGAAGCGTGGCCTCTCGCTGCGGTCCTTCTGCCAGCAATCCAGCATGAGCTGGTGCAGAGCTGTGGGGCAGCCCATGGGGGCAGGCAGGCGGTAGCCTTCCTCCACCGAGTTAATGACCTGGAAGGAAACCACATGCCGAAGTGGAGCTGCACCCCTACCCAACTCTCAGCACCCCAGACTGTGGCACACAGGGAAGATCCCTGGTGCATGAGCTGCTGGGGCTGTCAGATGGGGAAGCAGGGTGGGTGTACACAACATTCATGCTAAATGACAAGTGCGTTGCCAGTGGGCTCTGTGCAGTCTCTGTGGAGAGCTGGAAGCAGGCTGGATACTGTACACATACAAGAAATCACTGCTGTGACAGCAGATTTATTAAGTGGTCCAGCAGGCCTAAAATGTTGCAGACAAGCCACGAGAGCTGCACCCACATTCAGTTATTCTACAACCTGGGCTTGCCACCACTCAGCAAGGCTGGAAGAAACCCCGCTTGCAGGAACTGTGTGGAGGAGGTAGTATAAGCCACTGCATCCATGCCCTGTTCTCACCAAAGCCACTTTCTAAAATAATAAAAACACTAGGGAGAGAGGGGACTCTCAGGACTCCCAGAGCAGGGAGAAGGCAGATAGGTTTATAGTCCCCATATGTAAAAAAAAAGGAGTCTTGCGGTTCTGCAGAGTCAAAATATTTATTTTATTGCCTCTTTTTGGAAATTTTGCTCCCAGGTTGTAGTCACGAAATAACCTACATTTTCATACAGTTTTTATGCTACTCTTGAGGTAAAAGTGGCTTCACATAACTCTGACAAGCCCAAAGCCTACTGCCAGGTGGTGCAATTCTGGGGCACTCAGCAGCCTCACATGGGCAGTGGAAGGGATGGACCTCCAGCACTGGGTGCAAGAGGAACTGGCAGGCTAATGCAGTGGGACTGCAGTGATCCTGGGGAAGCCCTGACCCCTTCCAGGGAATGGGAAAGGTGGCACAACAGGTGCTAAAGCTCTCCAGCCAGCAGAAAGGCTTGCACAGAGCAGCAGACAGGGATGGGGAGACCCACAGTGCACACAACCAGGCACAGCCAGGAGCCATGGTGCTGCAAAGGGAAAAGCTGTGCAGTGCAACAATGGGTAACACAGCGATGTCCCCACCGAGGGGACAGCCACACTGTGCACAGCCCTGCAGGAATGTGAAGAGAGGCAAGGACTGGTCTTTGGGTCCCTTTTCCCCAACCCCCCATGCTAGGCTGGCTAGGGTGAGGGCAGGAGAGGCAGGCTTGCCACCATGCTGCCCCACATCCACTCACGTCCCGGTTGGTCATGTTCCAGTATGGGCGCTCGCCGTAGGCCAGCACCTCCCACATGACAATGCCGTAGCTCCACACATCGCTGGCCGAGGAGAACTTGCGGTATGCGATGGCCTCCGGAGCTGTCCAGCGAATAGGAATCTTCCCCCCCTGAAAAAGTGAGCAAGAGTGGAGGCTCAGAGCATGCAGGGCTCAGGCATGCCTACCTATTAGACAAGAAATATGCTGGGATGGCATCCTCTGGAAAGGACTGAGGAGGCAGTCTGCACATGATAAGCCTAGAGGTGTACCTGAAGAATGACTTCAAGGTATTTCTAGTACAGCACGGAGAAAGCTGTGCTGTTTTACAAGGTCGTCTTCATGCACAATTCTGGCCCTCAGTGTTCAAGAGAGAGGAATTCAAAGTGATGAAGTGGAGCCAAGGGCTACCAGAGCACAAAAGCATGGAGCTGACCCTGGGTGCAGGCAGAGACCCTGACTTGAGCAGACAAGGACAGCGATGGCATGTGCTCCCTGTCCATTACTGCTTTGGCAGGCAAGCACTGAAGAGGAGGACTTGTTGAATTAAAGGACCGTGCTGACAAAAACCAGCAATAAATGGGCTAAGAACACATTTAAGCTGGAAATGTGGTTACCAGCCATCTGAAGAGGAAAATTGTGGCATAGGAAACGTTTGCTGGGTTTCCCAGAGCAGCTGGGATGTGATATGCCTGGGAACACTTTTCAGGTATCCCCAACTGAGTCCTGCCTGCTCTGGGCTGATGGGGACTGAAGATGTGTCCTTTGGGAGAGTCCCTTTGGGAAAGTAATCTCCTGAGCAGGTCAAGGACAACAGAGGAGGAACACAGGATACCATCTTACCATGAGTTTCTGAACAATAAAGCATCCTCATTTTCAGGATACCCTGACTGAGATCTCATCAGAGATCTCATGCTCCTGATCCTGTCACTGTATCCAGCTCTATCCGGACTACGTACCTAGTCTTCCTCCAGAGCAACCAGCTCTGGTGGGTTTCACTGTGCCAGGATGCCTCAAAGCCTCTGCTTGTGACATTCCCGGTGGCTGCCCCATCCTCTAGTGACCTCACTGCTTGCATTCATACTGGTGACATGATACAGTGTCTCTAGAAACTGGGCAGGATTGGAAAGGGTCAGCAGGTAGGTCAATACATGAGCTCTGGTCACTCAGGTCACCTTCCTGACCCAGTGTCTCTGGAAAGATTAAAAGGCCTGAGGTAAAGCTTAGGGACTGGCTTCGTGGGAGGAAGGCCAGGCTATGTGTGTGTCTGCAGGCCACAGACAAGGAGATGGTCTTCTCTGACATCAGGAAGCCCTAGCCGATCTTGGGCCCCTTCTTACCCTTCCTCTGAGAGTCCTAAAGCCAAAATGCAGAAGATGCTGTGCTTGAACCAAGCAGCAAAGAACCTTCCCCAGAATTAAAGGATCTGGAATATCAAGTTATTTCCTGAGGTACCAAAGGGAGCAGTTGAATGCAAAGACACACACAGGACACATTCTGCCTCACTTCTCCACTTGGCTGAAGCCAAGCCAAGAGCATGAGGGTCATGTTCTCCAGACTGGGCCACTGTGCACTCATCCCTCAGAGCTGCAACTGCTTTGGGCCCTGCTCTGCATTGCTGTCAGCTACTCCAAAGTAACCCTAAGCTCTTTCTGCTTCTCTAGTCTTGGTCCTGAAAAATGATGCTCAGACTCCTCAGCTGCAGCTCCAAATTGGCCTCCATCAGGAACTGTCTATCCACCACGTTTTCTCAGCCAGAGGTTTGCCTGGGGAACACAGTAACTGCTTTCATGGCCAGAGAAGAGCAAAAAGAGCACATTCCCTCAATGTATTTCATTTCACCTCTGATGACCTCCAGTGGAGGAACACATCAAGCTCCAGAGCTGTCAGGTTGGCCAGAAAAATCTTAAAATGGCTTCACAGATAGAAGTGTCCTACATTAAACCAAAATCATCTAGGTTGCAAAGCCAATTGCCACCCTTTCCACACCCCCAAATGAGGCAGAGTCATATGGAAAACCTAGTGTGTGGCCATGCTACTGAAGAGTGTACCATAACACCCACCTACTGACCGATGGCTCTAGGACAACTGAAGGGCTGGATGGAGCTACACAGTCTAGAGAAGGACTCCAACAGGGACATGGGAGTGTCCCTGTGCAGTGGGCCATGCATGCCCACAGGAGCTGTTGGCTGGGGAGGTTTGATCAGCTCTGTGCTCTCCCCCCCTGCTTCTCTTTGTTCACTGCACACTTCAGTTCTGGGATGTCCCTGTACGAAGGACAAGGCATTAAGGCTCAGAAGCTCTTTGGGTTCATGCTCTTGGTCCAGATATCAGCAGTGAGGTGACTATCTCTGTTCCTGCCTTGCCTATCTTGACTTGAGAGTGTCTAACTTTTCCATCTGTCAGTGGTCTGGGGCAATCACCATCAGTAAGGATCAATGAGACTGCAACACTAGGAGCCACGCACCGTGGTGGTGTATGCAGCATCAGGGTCATCTTCCAGGATGCGGGAGAGGCCGAAGTCAGACACTTTGCAGACCAGGTTGCTGTTCACAAGGATGTTGCGGGCAGCCAGGTCCCGGTGCACATAGCCCAGGTCAGACAGATACCTCATGCCTGCTCCAATGCCACGCAACATGCCCACCAGCTGGATGATGGTGAACTGCCCATCGTGTTTCTGGAGAGGAAATAATCCAGAGTTCATTCATGGTTTTCACCAGCGTCCTACTGATGCTGCTCTCATTAAACTGACCCCCTCATACTTCTCATCTTTGGCTTAGTACCTCCTCTAACCCCAGCACCTCTCTCTTGCCCCCCCAGCCCACCTCCCAGGGCCTCTGACACACCACTCATGCAGGTGGCCCTGCCTTTGCAGTGCTGCTCCAGGGGACCAGTCACAATGCCCCAGAGCTGCTGTCTGCTGGAGAGGGGAGAGCCCAGACCACACCGCTCTCATACACGGGTCACAGTGGCCGTGAGGCTGAGGGGCAGGAACCAGCCTCTTCTCCAGTCACACAGCCCAGGGGGATGTGCAATGAATAAAAATACAAGAAAGCTCCTTACCCTGAGGAAGGTGTCTAGCGAGCCATTCTCCATGTATTCAGTAACAATCATTACCAATTTGCCTGCAGAAGACAAGGGAGGTCAAGTTAGCAGAGAAGTCACCTTCCTTTGGGAAGCCCAGTGCCAGGTTTTTACTGGGAGAGACATGAATCCAGGCCAATGGATCTCCTGCAGCCCCACAGAGCAGTCTCACCACTGCACCTTGCAGGATCGGCACGACAGTGGGGAAGTGGCAATAACCCAAACACTTACCCCTCCCTCCAGGTGCTACTGAAGTGGCTAGGTCAGCTTCATTATCCTGATGATATTTGCATTCTATTAGCATAACACTTTGCATCAGAATGTGCCTTTTTGAAGGAAGACTTCAAATTATGATTCAATACAGGCAGCCTTTAAAATAAACTCTAATGGGTAGGACATCTCCTAATCGAATAACCCTGACCTGGGACGCACTGTGTAAGGAGGTGGGGAACTGCCACATGGAAAGTTTGTCCTGTAAGAGAAGGCAAGGGGGTGGGATGGAGGAGACCCCTCCAATGGACATCTGACAAGCGAGCAACCAGGGCAGCTGAAGGATGGAGTGCACGCAAAGTGATCCCTGACCCCCATCTCGCTGGGGTGCCCACAGGGAGATATGTCCCACCTCTGCCCCACCATAGGGACCCAACCCTGCCAGCCACATACTCCTGGTCACCACCCCCTCCAGGTGGATGACGTTGGGGTGGTCAAACTGTGCCATGATGCTGGCTTCGCTCAGGAAGTCCCGTCTCTGCTTCTCTGTGTAGCCTGCTTTCAGTGCCTTGATGGCCACAGGAATCTCCCTCTTCCCTGGCAGCTTCAGGCGGCCGTAGCACACCTCTCCGGACTCCCCTGCAAGGCAAGGGAAGGTGAGGGCATGGGGAGCTCCTCAGCTTCTTGCACCAACCCACCAGCACCATGGATCACCTGGTCTGCCAGCACGCTCGCAGCATGCTCCAGCCCCTGAGGACTCTTGGGCTCTTTGTGCATCGCTGCCTCCAAGTACAGAAAGGTTTGCCCATCTCTGGCTTTCAGTGCCACCTCTGGGAACTGGGCAGAAATATCAGAAACCACCTTTCTCTGATGCCTGTTACTGAAGGTGATGGGCCAAGAGTGATTACAGTGGTACTTGCATTACTGCTTTTAATGCACAAATTTGGGAATCTTTTAGAGCAGCAGGGATGTCTTTCAGCCAGGTTTCTTCATGCTGCTCTGCTTGGCTCTGCACTGTCCCTCAGCACACAGGGTGAGCCTCCGTAAGCCCTTGGGATGCTCTGCTGAAGCTCCAGTTCTGGTTCTGCCCCATGCTTCCCTGCTAGCCCCTGTTCCTATGCAAAAAAACCCCTTTTGTTCTGAAAATTTACCATGTTGCTTGCAATTTCATTTGCATCTTGCCACCCCAGATGCTTGCTCCAAGGTTTGAAAGCAGGGTGGCCATGTTGGAGCACACAGGACAGGCTGAGCCATCTGCTGTGTCAGCCTGAGCCGTCAGTGCCAAGCCAGCTGAATAGCAACCCTCTGCACTAGGCTGCCTCCAAAGAGTTTATTTCATGCCCAGGAACTCACCAGACCCAATGACCTTCTCGATCTTGATCCGGGAGGCCTCGATTTCACGGGTGAACTCGTGCACAGCTTGGCAGGGGTCCTCGTACGTGTGTGGGTCCACGTAGAACTTTGACTCAGGGAACTTCACTGCCAGGTTTCAAAGGAGAGAGAGGAGATAAGCTCTTTCAGGCAGCCCTGCTGAAAAGCAGGGGCCTCCAGCAGCCAGGCAGAGGATGGGCAGGGGCAGGACTTCTTGGGTTGGCATGCTGAGGAGCCACAGAGGTTGCAGCCCCAGGGAAACCCAAGGCACTCTTTGGCATAGCAGTGTCCTCAGAGCAGTCCAAGACCTGGCTGCCCAGGTCTTCTCCACGTGATTGTCCCTCTCCATCACCTGCCCATCCCCACCCCTCACCTGCGATGAATTTTCCACTCTTCTGGCCTGCTGCTGTCTGGGATGAATGTGCTGCAGTCCCATCTCACACCGTGTAGCCCTTCAACCCTATTACCTGGATGTCCCTGGGATCAGAGCCCCCACTCAGCTCTCCTAGACACATCCCCAGAGGCAGGCAGTGGTCAAAACCCTTCCCCCTGGAAACCACAGCAGTGCCAGAGGGTAATGGTCCAAGTCCCTGCCCATCCACAGGGCTGAGATCCTTCACATCCCAGGGGCAGCAGCAGGGAGGGTCCTACCTTGACCATTCTGATAATGCATCTTCTCCTCGTCGGAGTCCTGGAAAGCCTTGCTGTACCCACAGTGCCTGCCACAGGGACACAAGGTTCAGAACATGTGCTCCTGTCCCTCAGTCCCACAAGCAGCCCAAAGGCAAGGTGGAAATCAGTGGGTGTCAGGGCTATAAGCAGCCCAGGAGGAGCTGGAGCTAACGCTTCGTCCTTCACCAGCTGCATCCCTACGCCTTGCTGGACTGACACCTTGGCCTGGAGTAAGGTGCTGTCCAGGTGCTCTCCAAGACTTGGCAGTGCTAAAAGCTGCAGACCTTTTGTCTCCTCTGGGCAGTGATATGTGTAGTCCACATGCCTGGCTCAGCCATGCTGAGATGCAGCAGCACATAGTCCCTCTTGGTCCTTTCTGATGGAGAAGAGCTCTCTCCATTCCTGACCTACCTCCTAGCCCATCAGTCATCCCTTGTACTAGTAGTGGTGCTGGCATTGCTATGGCTATTGCTATGGTTATTGCTATTCAGCCTGCTGGCATGAGGGCAAGGTCTGGAGATTGGCTGTGCCTCAGGGAAGGTGGAGGTGTGGTGACTTCTAAAGGAAGTCTCTTGGTTGCTTATTAACCCCTGACCTATGGATGCTCTGGACAAACTGAGAGGAGTAAAATTGCACCCAAGTGCTCCCATCCCTCCTGCCCTGCTTGGTGACAAGCCGCACTGACCTCCAGAAAACACTTACCTCTTCTTGCAGATTAGGACCACCAGCAATGCGACAAGGCCAGTGATGAGTGTCAGGCAGATCCAGACAATTGTCATCGTGTCGTACTGGAGAGAGACTGGAAGAAGCAGGGTAGGAAGGAGGTGAGCTGGAGTGAGGAACACTCTGCTGTGCTCAGAAACTCACCTACCCCACTGGGGTCATGTTCTTCAAAGATAAAGCACCATTCCCCATCAGCCCCATCTTTGGGGCTCTCCCAGTGTACAGGAACCATTTACACATGGGGAAACCAAGCACAGATCTGGGAAAGCCATAGGGATACAGCAAACCAGTGCAGAGAGGAGTCTGGAGCCTCAGGACCTCACCAGGTCTTCCCTGCTCTAATGGCTATGTCCTTCCTCCCTCTTCTTTCTAATGTATAAACACATGAGGGCAACCTCAAGCAAGCCCTGCAGGCTGAAACCCTGGGAGATCTGCCTCCAGTATCTCTCCCTGTGTGGCAGAGGTACAATCACCATGGACAAGGGCATCTCCATCCCCCATGCTCCCTGCCCCACACTTCCCGCATCCCACAACTACACACACTCACCTGGCTTCCCCGTTTCCACCTCCACAGTCTGGCTGAACCTCCCGCAGCCAGCAGAGGTGCGAGCCCGAACTTGAAAAATGTAGCGGGTTGCAGGCTTGAGCCCAGAGATGGTAGCAGTGGTGCCCTTGGATTTCAGAGTCGAATAGCTCTGCATTTCCTTGTCCTGGGGAAAAGCAACACCAAAAGCTTTGCTGCATCAGCACAGCAACCACAAAGTCCTCCAGAATAGTCCTTTGTGCAAGGCTGGCTGATAGCAGCAATTGCACCAGCAGGATTTAAACCGAGCCATGCCCCTGTCTAAATCTACCATGCTGGGACCGGTTTGCGGCAGCAAGCTCAACATTACCTTCTCATAGTACTTGATCTCATACTCCAGAATGATGCCGTTGGGCTGGTCTGGTTCTTGCCACAGCAAGGTGACGCTGTTCTGGCCCGTGCTCTCCTGGCGGACCACCACCACCTGGGACGGGGCTGGGGACACAGATGGCAGGGTGTTAGGTGCCTGCTGGTGGGGGTCCTGCATGGGTGAAGGCAGCAGGACACAGCAGCAGGGAAGGGTGGAACTGGAGCCCCATGCAGGACCCCTGGTTTAAACAGTGTTTCTGTTTTAATTAAAGCCATGTGGAGATGAGTGCTGTGAAGGGGCTTGCAAACAGGCTTTTGTTCGCTTCAGTTGCTTCAATCTCTTTCCCATGGAGTGAGCAGGCTCCGAGGAGATGAAAGAGGAGGGCACTGTCCCAGCACAGGCAGGAGGGGACACTGGTGCTTCGCTGTGATCTGGGGCCAGAAAGGAGAAGGGGCTGCAGGGTTGGAGGTCGTGGAGATCCCTAGCAGGACTGTGACCCCTCCTTCCCCACCTGGGGAAGGGGGAGAGGGGC